CCCAGCGCGGTCCAACCACGCCCAGCGTGGGCCATCCAGAGGCTCCCATTCTCAAGCTCGTCCGACGCACACAACCTTGCGCTCGGCGAGCTTGCCCAATAGAGTCCTCTGATGGTCACGCGTCCGGTGCCAAGAACTGCGCCCAACGTTAACTAAATTAATGGATGTTGTACCTGTCTGAAGGGCACACTAGTAATTTTCTTCTCTTTGAGGGCCAAACGAGAGCTCTAAACGAATATTTCGGTGAGAGGGAGGATACCTGCAAAAGGCACTCCGTCGCTCAAGTCAGGACAAGCACAGATATCGATAGTAATTAATGAACAGTGACGTTACCTCGTGACATGAGCTATTTATACTGACATTAATGGGCCTTGACTCCCATGGGCCCTACAACAGGATTATCATATTAGGTAATACGCCTCTAATCGGCTTATTGGTGTGATTAGCTCTTAACTCTTGATTAGTGGTAATCCTTAACTCTTGATTAGGGGTAATCTGAGTTTATGGAGCATTCAGTGGTCGATCAGTCGTCGGCTACCTGGTTCGACCGTTCGGGTGCCGATTGGATATCGGCTACCTGGTGGCCGAATGGTCTTACTAGTACAGATGTAAAACCTGTCTCTCTCTTTTCTCCCTCTCAACTCTATTCTCACTCACTTCTCCCTTCCCTCTCAATTCTCACTTACCTTATTCAATTCTCTGGAATCCTTGGGGTTGTAGGTGTTGTGTAGTTGTGCTAGAAGCTAGCCGAGGGCGTGGATTCTTCCTTCACAATCTCTCTTCTCCGTTCGTCTATTTCTTCTCCTTTCTTCCTCCCGGAGCTCAGAATCTCTTCACCGAGGTAAGGGAAGCTAGGATTTGTACCGATTATTTGTTAAGTGAGTTAGTTACTCACGGATTGTGTGATTTCCGAAGAGTATGAGCTGATTTGATGAAAATACGTTTTTTCGGGGTTTTGGGTGAAATTTTGGGGTTTTTCTTGTTTGATGGTTGCATGCTGAAAATGAATTCGTTTTCGTGTTGTTGGATGAAAATGTGGTTCCTTGGAGGGTTTGCATGTGCTTGGGCTGTTGGATTTTTGCAGGTTTGGGCAAAATTTTCGAACTTGGAGAGTTGCTGCTTGGTATCACGTTGGGCGCAGTTCTTGGCACCGGACGCGTGACCATCAGAGGACTCTATTGGGCAAGCTCGCCGAGCGCAAGGTTGTGTGCGTCGGACGAGCTTGAGAATGGGAGCCTCTGGATGGCCCACGCTGGGCGTGGTTGGACCGCGCTGGGCGCGATATCAGTAAGTAACATAGCTTTTGCGTTTCTGGTGTTGCGCCGGGCGTGACTTTGTCTCGCCGGGCGTGGAGACTCCTTGGGAGTCTCTGCCAGGGGTGGCGCTGGGCGTAATTGGTATTGCGCCGGGCGTGAGACCTTGGGGAGGTCTCTACCTTCCCTGCGCTGAGCGTGGGTTTGACATGTCGGGCGTTTGAGGCTCCTTAGAGTCTCTGCCTCCTAGCACGCCGGGCGCAATTAGAATTGCACCGGGCGCGTTTAAGCCTTAGAGCTCTCTGGTTGGGCCACGCCGGACGCGACCATGAGTGCGTTGGGCGCGGATGTGATCTTTGTTATATACTGATATACGTTGAGAAATGCTGATATATGTTGATGTTTGCTAAGCTGAGCTGCCATGCATTATCAAATTTAAGATAGCAAAACTCGAAATACTTCTAAAGAATCAAATATGTTTTATCTATAAGAAAGGGTAAAGATTTTCTTTTACATATTTTAAGTAGATTGTACAATATGAAAAATGTTTAAAGATTTGCACCCTTGAACTCATCATGGTTGCAAAATCCTGAGTAAAAGAAGTGCCCGTTCCCAGTGTGGTCTGTTTGATAGAACAATTCTTTTCAAGACCTGCACTGCTCCAGCAGCCACAAGTGCTGAATGGTTCTCTGGGTCCATACTCAGATTATACAGTATTGCCAAGCTTGCTTCAACAGCCCTATCACTACCTTCTTCAATCAGATTCACCAATGAATACACTGCCTCATTAGAAATAATTACTTCAAGTCTCTATTAATTATTTTTAGAGTTAATCATCCATACACTACTAGTGTAAAGTCTTTTATATTGACAATCAATCATATCTTTTAAATTATTTTATTTTATTATTACTTCATTAAATAAGCAACTGACATGTCATTATTAAAAAATATGATTGGTTGTCAGTGTAAAATTTTTTTATACTGACAGTGTATAGGTGATTAACTCTTATTTTTATAAAATAGTAAATAATAAAATTATATAAGTGAGTGGTTATTAAAAACATAGGTGATTAAACCACTAGGGTTAGCCTAGTGGTTAGGTGGGGAGGGGTTAGGGTAGTTAGAAGCATGAGGACCTAGGTTCAATCCTCATTACGACCATCTTTGTAATCTTTCCTATCTTTACTAAAAAAATATAGGTGATTACAAAATAATAAAAAAAATATAATTTGTAAAAAGTAAGCAAAACTCGAAATACTTCTAAAGAATCAAATATGTTTTATCTATAAGAAAGGGTAAAGATTTTCTTTTACATATTTTAAGTAGATTGTACAATATGAAAAATGTTTAAAGATTTGCACCCTTGAACTCATCATGGTTGCAAAATCCTGAGTAAAAGAAGTGCCCGTTCCCAGTGTGGTCTGTTTGATAGAACAATTCTTTTCAAGACCTGCACTGCTCCAGCAGCCACAAGTGCTGAATGGTTCTCTGGGTCCATACTCAGATTATACAGTATTGCCAAGCTTGCTTCAACAGCCCTATCACTACCTTCTTCAATCAGATTCACCAATGAATACACTGCCTCATTAGAAATAATTACTTCAAGTCTCTATTAATTATTTTTAGAGTTAATCATCCATACACTACTAGTGTAAAGTCTTTTATATTGACAATCAATCATATCTTTTAAATTATTTTATTTTATTATTACTTCATTAAATAAGCAACTGACATGTCATTATTAAAAAATATGATTGGTTGTCAGTGTAAAATTTTTTTATACTGACAGTGTATAGGTGATTAACTCTTATTTTTATAAAATAGTAAATAATAAAATTATATAAGTGAGTGGTTATTAAAAACATAGGTGATTAAACCACTAGGGTTAGCCTAGTGGTTAGGTGGGGAGGGGTTAGGGTAGTTAGAAGCATGAGGACCTAGGTTCAATCCTCATTACGACCATCTTTGTAATCTTTCCTATCTTTACTAAAAAAATATAGGTGATTACAAAATAATAAAAAAAATATAATTTGTGTTTCAAACATTTTGAACTTAAACCGTTGTAATCGATTACACGTCTTGTAATCGATGACCAGAGCCTATTTTCTGAAAAATTATAGAGAGTTACAACTCTTCATGAAAAGACATAACTCAAGATACAATTGTCTATAAATACCTATAATTTTTTAGAGAAAAGAAAAACGAACTCAATTGTGAAAAATTATCTTTACAAATCACTTGGCCAAAATCATTTGCAAAATCTCTAAAGAGTTCATCAAAGATCATGAAAGTGTAATATCCACTCTTCAAGAGAGTCATTCTGTATTACTTAATTGATCATTGGATCTGTAAAGGAGAAAAGGTTTTTTCTCCTTGTTAGTGTTTGAATCTCAACACAAGGAAAGGGAGTTCCGAGGTGTTGGAGGATTCATTTTCTTGTAAGGTTTACGAGAGTAGTGGAATTCTCAAGTGGGAGACTTGAGGACTGGATGTAGGCAGGATTGGCCGAACCAGTATAAAATCAAGTTTGTAATTCTTCTTCCCTACTCTTTTATTTCTTTGTTATTAATTGTGTTTGAGTTGTTCTTCATCATCATTCTTTACATGCAACACTAGTGGAAAAAATACTTTTAAGATCTGTCATTTTTCAGTTTTAAGATCAATTCTTTGACCGATCTTAAAAGAGATGATCTTAAAAGTTGGACTTTTAAGATCGGCTATTAACGACCGATCTTAAAACGTCCAACTTTTAAGATCATCTCTTTTAAGATCGGTCGTTAATAGCCGATCTTAAAAGTCCAACTTTTAAGATCAGTCATGATAATAGCCGATCTTAAAAGTTGGACTTTTAAGATCGGTCATGCCAGTAACCGATCTTAAAAGCTGGACTTTTAAGATTGGTCATACCAGTAGTCGATCTTAAAAGCTGGACTTTTAAGATCGGTCATGCTAATAGCCGATCTTAAAAGTCCAACTTTTAAGATCGGTCATGGTAATAGCCGATCTTAAAAGTCTAACTTTTAAGATCGGTCATGCTAATAGCCGATCTTAAAAATCCAGCTTTTAAAATCGGTCATGGTAATAGCCGATCTTAAAAGTTTTGAATTTTTTTAAAATTATTAGTTTGTTTTGAGAAAGTTTTTGAACAAAACCTGCAAATTAATACCAGGCAAATGATATATTTTCAATGGTCCAGATTACATACAAAATACAAGAGAACTTTTTGGAAACATATTCAATACAGTAATGTATACATAATAAGTATTTCATACAGAATAAGTCCTAACTAGTTAGTGTTTCAATGAAAAATGTAGCCCATTGCTCCCTAATGATGTTGATGTCTTCTGATGACAATGGTGATCGATCTATAAATATCTATAAAGAAAAATGTAGCCCAATGTGTTACCCTCTGGAAGCATTTCTTTCAGCAACTCTAACAATTCTGTGAAACTTTTATCACTCCATCCATTTCTTGCCTTCAAATTGAACAATCTCAATACTGCAGACAATCTTGTAAATTTTGTGCAGTTTAGATACAACGGCTTCTCTGAATCACTGCACAAAGTTTCATACATATGTGCTTGCTTGAATGATTCTGGACCCACGTCACGGATCATATCCTCTAGTCGATCACCCATATCTACCTCTTGTGTAAAAGTTTGAGTTTGAGTTTCGACTGACACACTTGGAATGTCAATATTGTCACCATGCCATTTCCAACGTGTATAATTCTTAAGAAACCCATCACATAGAAGATGTTCCCTTATAATATCAAGTTCTAGGCGAGTCGTATTACAACAATTAACACAAGGGTAAAAAAACTTTCCATTCATATCATCCTTAGCATTCTGTAGTACATATTCAACAAAATATTTCACTCCAGTCTCATACTGATCACTCATGCGTGATGCACTTATCCAACTTCGATTCAATAACCAACTATTGTCCATAACTTCTGTTCTTCATAAAAAAAAACATGGACCATGTATGTCAATCTTGTTATTTTATAACTTCTGTTCTTCATAACTTTTGTTCGCCAACATTTCGCATTGGTCTCCAAGTACATGAAATGAAAGTGATGACATCAAATCACAACACTCTCAAATATGCACTCGGAGAACAAAATGAAATGCAATAAACCAAAATTCTATATAATTTAAGATGAGACTTAACTTGTACATATCACACAAGTATAAATAAAGTTAATCATTTGTATTGAATCTCAAACGGGAAACTAAGGTTCACTCAATGTGTGCATAAATTTAATATCATATTAATTTATAAAACAACGAAAATGGATTAAAGCTTAATAACTATAGTAAAATGGTATAGTATACTAACAATTAATGAAGAGGACTTCAAGGACGTATTTGAACGAGACAGTCACTCCTTCCTTGTATGATTTATGAGCATTTGCTACCACAAGTCCAAAAAAAGAGCACACAAAAATATATTTCACATTAGAAACAAACTTATATATCCCATGAAATCACTGGTAATACAAAAAACACAAAATAAAATAATCAATTACACAATTGTAACAGGCAACCCCTCCAATTTGAGGATTAAATAACATAATTACAAGCATAGTATTGTAATATTTATTTCTAGGAATTGAAATTATTTAGGATGCCATGCTATAAATACTAAGTTGGCTTTATGGAAAGTTAGAAGGGTTTATCTTGTAATATTTCTTATATTTTCAATCAATAACATGGTAGTCCATTTATCCAAAATCAGGTTCGAATCAATTAATCCAACCTGCCAAATGTTTGAGGCAGAGCCAGTGTTGTCAGAGATGGAGACATGTGGGCCAAAAAGGTGGAACTGCATGAATGAAAGATCAGAATTACCTATAATTTTATCACAACATTTCCATATACAAGCACCAAGAACAAGAAAATCTCATCAACAAAAAATAAGGAAAATTATAAATTAGCAATGACAATAATTGATCATATAAATTAGCAAAAATGCACAACACCTGGAGAGAAGCAGCTGGAGCTTGTAGAGGTAATGCATTTCCAAGAGCGTCTTCATTAGGTCGTAGTAAAGCCAAAAGAGTTTCCTTCAACGGCTTCAATAAAGCAGGATCACTAGAAGCTAAAGGACCCAAATGAGTGCAAGCAACCCTTAAAGCAGCATTATAATCACCAGAGCTGACCAACTTGAGGAATTCAATCTATAGCCAGAAATCCTCAATAAAGATAACTTTCAACCCTTGAGCTTTCAATTTTCCAAATAACATTTCTTGGTGCTTGAACAAAAAGATAATATTATCATCAGCATGGTTATGAAAGGCTTCACAAGCAAATAGCCCTATTAAACCAAAATGTACACGTTTTGGAAACATGAGACAGTTTAGGTCAGAGTGTATGTGAACAAATGCACACACCACACACAAAATGATGCAATTTTAAGCCATTTGGAAAAAAATATATTACATAAAAAAGACCTCTAAGAAGAAATGTCAGTTGAAAAAATAGAAAGATTTTACACAGAATTAAAATGAAGTTCAACGTAACACTACCAAGATTGAGGAACTAAGCGATCAGTTGAAATCAGTTCCTGAGCCAAGTAACTCAGCTTCATATCTTCCTTTAAATGTTGCACCAGAAATAAGTCAGTTTCTCATGCAAGTAAGCATTTAAAATTTTAAACTTGAAGCGGGAGGAAGAAGCTAAAGAAATACAAGGATATTCTAGATGCCACACATCAACATCCAGGTTTCCTATGTAATTTGTAGATGACAACCAACAAAAAAAGTATTCATTTTAGCAATACATCGTTTATTAGCTTCTTCCCTGAATTTTTAGCCTGTAGCTACGTATAAGAGAAAAACAGGACATTTTTAAAGCATAGAGTATTCTCTAACACACTTTTATAAACACATATTTTATTATTGGTTAACTTCTTCAACATATAAAGCTTTTTCAACGTAATCATCATAAAATTTTAACTGATAAAAGAAAATGCACTTAAAATGTGATAAAAAAAAGTACTATCAGTACTCCCTGTATAAATAATGCTGCATTGTATGAATATGGTATATATATAGGAGATTGTATAATGTGAATATGATAATTTTCTAGTAAAATTATAATTCGGTTACAAAAATATATATATTAAAATAAAATTATATTCATAAATTGTTTATGACTTATTAATTGTTTTGTTAATTTCTATAATTTTCATTAAATAAGCTGATATTTAGTAATTAAATTTTATTAAAAAGTATATTAGTAATTAAATTTTAATAAAAGTATACTATTCAAGTTAGATAATGATTCGTTTATTATATATTTAAACGAAATGTATATTAAGAAGTTTAGAGACATTACGACCAAACTTTAAGATTAATACAATTGGCTATAATTGACAATCATGGTTTTTTACATCATACATGTTATTGGTAATTAATTAAACAGTAAACAATGAGTCTCAGCACTTGATTCATAAATCGTACACACTCTAGCTTGACTAATAATTTATTCGTGGTTCAATGATGCCTGATAGGTACTAATCTCGTGTAACAGGAACAATAATAATTATTTAAATTTTGATGACAGGGAACAACACAGATTTATAATAATTAATGGCGGAAAATAAAAAGAAACTTGCAAGCATAAACATTCGCAGCATCACTCACATTTACGAATCGGGACGATATTCGAGTAAAATTATTTGAAAAAACAATACATTCGCAGCATTACATTTTATAATAATTATTTAAATTTTAATGGCAAGAACAACACAGATTAATAATAATTAATGGCGGAAAACAAAAAGAAACCTGCAAGCAGAATCGGCGGAGGCGAAAAATTGGGATTAGGGATTTCACTTTCTTTTCTCTGTTTTCTTCTCACATTGTGCATCCGTGCTCCAAATGTCACTCTCTCTCTGCTCTCTCTTCGCATGCTATTTCTTAAAAGATATTTAATAAGTTATTTTAATGTACGTATAAGTTATTTTAAAAATTGGGGTTAGGGATTTTCATTCTAATGCACACATAAGTTATTTTTAAAAAATTATAAACTACTTTTATTTTGTTTTTTTAATTTTAAAACTTTTAACAAACTAATTCAAAACTTTTTTTTTAAGAATATTTAATACACATATATAAATATAATTTTAAAAGTACTTTTAAGATCGGTTAAAATGTGACCGATCTTAAAAGTTGTAACCTTATTTACAAAAATGCCACTATGTCACTTTTAAGATCGACTAAAATGTGATCGATCTTAAAAGTTGTAACCTTATTTACAAAAATGTCACTGTGTCACTTTTAAGATCGGCTAAAATGTGACCGATTTTAAAAGTTGTAACCTTATTTACAAAAATATCACTGTGTCACTTTAAGATCGGCTAAAATGTGACCGATCTTAAAAGTTGTAACCTTATTTACAAAAATGTCACTGTGCCACTTTTAAGATCGGCTAAAATGTGACCGATCTTAAAAGTTGTAACCTTATTTACAAAAATATCACTGTGTCACTTTAAGATCGGCTAAAATGTGACCGATCTTAAAAGTTGTAACCTTATTTACAAAAATGTCACCGCATCACTTTTAAGATCGATTATCTAATAACCGATCTTAAAACTAATTTTTGTACTAGTGCAAATTTGTCTAAAGAAATAAAGTGATAAGAAAGTAATTGGAAAAGTTTTTATAAGAGGAAAATTTAGAAAACTTAATTCACCCCCCTCTTAAGTTATACGAGGCTAAGGGACTAACAAATATTAATAATAATCTTTTTAAAAATTGGGGTGTTACAATATACATAAATGTATATTAATAAGATTTATATTAAATGCAAGTGCACATGATCAAGATAAGTCTCTAATTTTGATTGAAGAACAATATTAACTACACATAAGAAATTGTAATTAAATTATAGGTTAAGTTATACTTTTTGTTTCTTTATTTATTTTAAAATTCAATTTGGTCCCACTAATTTTAAAATGTTCAATTTTATCCTCTAATTTTTTGAAAATTCAATGTTATCCTTCTATCCACATTCATACTATTAACATTAATGAAATCAGACAAAAGAACAACATTGAATATTATTTAAAAATTAGAGGATCAAATATAATCATTTAAAAATAATAGGACCAAATTGAATATTTTATAAATATAAGAACTAAATTGAACAAAAAATTATCTATTGTCTTGTCTAGAATTTTATCTATTTAATGACTTATTTTATTAGACAATTCCTTCATTTTGTGATCATTATTTAATTCCATGTATTCAATTTGTTTTCATTCATTATTTTGTTAAGGTAAATAAAAGAAAATTCAAATTTATCTTTTAAAGAAAAGATAAATTTTTATTCAATTTGGTCCTATTACTTTTAAAATGTTTAATTTGTTTTTACTATTTTTTTTTTATTAGTAAAGGGGCTTAAAAGTTCAACAATAAACTAGAATTCACGAGGAAAAAAAATAGCAAACTTATCAGTTAGTAATAAAAAATGCACCCAACTTGGCAGAAAGTTAAAACAATGCACTCCCTCATGGAGAGTTAATCCTAACTTAGCAAAATTATCAACTACTTGATTTGCTTCTCAGAGGACATGAACATAATCTAATTCAAAAAAATCTCCTGATATCCTAACAACCTGGTTGAGAAGAGAGTAACATGGATGTATTCAGGGACATCCATCATTTAAGAATTGAACAACAAAAGAGGAGCCAGATTCTATTATAATGTGAGAATGTAAGAATCTATCCTTAATAACCCGTAGTTCATGAAAAATAGCCCAAAGCTCAACTTGTACAACAGATCAACTCCCAATCATTTCAGAAAATGCTAGTAAGAGTTCCATTACTGTCTCTCAATACACCACCACAAGAAGCCAAAGATTTATTAGAAACGGCTTCATCATAGTTAAGTTTCAGTATACCAGGAGGAGGTGGATTTGTGTGAATTATTTTGAGATGAAACATTAGGCTACTCGTGCAGTATTTTTGTTAAAACTTGTATCTGGCCTTTGACCTCGCAAGCTACTTGAGTAGGACTCACATCCGTCTGGCAAAATATTAAATTATTACGGGCCTTCCAAATGGAGACTAGGGTGATATCAAACATTTGGGATCATTTGGGATTGGAAACATTTAGATTGGCCAATAAACAATCATTTAAAGGAAAGAGAAAAAACCCTTGATCCACGTTATGGGCATGTAAACATGTTTCACGACCTGCATGACAGCGTGCGCAAGTTGTAACTATAGTTATAAAACATTAATTACTCTAATCATTTGTGCAAAGACTATTGTGTGCAATTCTTCACAAAAAGACATCTAATTTTTTTCAGCGTCAGGCCATTTCCAAATTAAATTAAAAAGAAATCATGACTCTGTAGAAGGCGAAGCTCTTAAGGATTCATATGTAGCTTTAATAAAAAAATTTACAGTTCTAAAACCACCCCAAAATATACAATCTTCATCATTTTCAGGAGAAGGGTGGGTGCCAAACCTTGTATCTCTTGCCAGAGTTGTCTAGGAATGTATGAGGGCACCTCATCAAGCTTCTAGTTCTCGTTCGCATCAACAAAATTAGCAACTTTTCTACTTTGTATCTCCATTGGTACTGTCTGAATAGCCACCTCACTAAGAATCTTGTTGGATGGAAGGCAACGATCAGACCAGAATTTAGTAGATTTACCATTTCCTATGTTCCATGCTATATTATGCACAACCTTGTCCCACACTTCACAGATTCCTCTCCAAAGGTTAGATGTTGGTTTCTTATGGATCACCGAAATAATATCTTCTCCACACACATACTTAGATTGCACCACCTGAACCCAAAGCTTATTAGGCTGGGAACATAGAGCCCAACAGTTCTTCATCATAAATGATAGATTAACCTTACGTGCCTCCCTTAAACCTAAACAACCACCATCTTTAGGTTTACAAAGAGTTTCCCATGCAAGAGCATGGATACGTCGATTGTGGCCATCCTCCCCCCAAATGAAAGATCTACTAGATTTATCAATATCATCACACAATTGTTTAGGAAAGAAAATTGTCTGCATTATTTACAAAGGTAAAGCAGTAAGGACCATTTTAGATAAGGTAAGGAGACGTGGGAATGAAAGGGACTTACTTTTCCAAGAGTTTAATCTTCTGTTGATATGATTCATTACTATTTGGAGTTTTCATTTACTCACACATTTATGATGAAGTTGGACACCAAGATATTTACCCAATTCATCGGTATGTTGAAAACCAAGCGGGGAACTTATTTCATTCTTTACATTCCATCCCACATTTTTGAAGAAGCAACTCTTGTCTTTTCCTAGCTCACCTTCATGCTCGAGCTGTTACAGAATGTCTCCAGACAAACTTTAATAATTTCAACTTGTTCTAGGGATGCTTCAGAGAAAAGAATAAGATCATCAACAAATGGTAAGTAGGATAACGATGTACATTTTTTTTATTTTTATAATTTGATTGGTTTTCATAGCTTTTGTTGTTCAGCTATATTGATTAGATGAAATAAGCTTTCCATGCATAGCACGAAAATATATGGGGACAAGGGATCCCCTTGTCAGATGCAACGAGAAGGATTGAAAACCTCTAATGCCTCCCCATTCCATATAACTGCATAGACGGATAAGAGATACAAAACCATATTAACTCAATCATTTTTTGCGGGAGTCCAATATTGGATAAAGTTTCTCTAATGAAATCCCAGTTTAGTCTATCGTAAACCTTTTCTAGATCAATCTTTATGGCCATCCATCATTTCTTCCCTGATTTATGTTTCATAGAGTGAATCACTTCTTGAGTTATGATAATGTTGTCTATAGTTTGTCGATTAGGTACAAAGCTACTTTGGTTAGGACCCACTATATCTTCCATAATACTTCTCAAGTGAATAGCCACCATCTTTGTAAGTATCTTGTAGGATACATTACATAAAGTTATAGGTCTCATATGCTTCAGAGAAATGACATTGTCGACCTTAGGAATGAGGGTAATAAATGTTTTGTTTATCTCTGCAACCTTTTTTGGTTCCTCATAGATGGAGAGAATCAACTCACAAAGAGATGGTGTCACTATAGGCCCCTAGGACTGGTAAAATAATGCACGAAAGCCATCCAGACCAAGGGCTTTTAAACCCCCCATATGTTTAAGAGAAACTTGGATTTCCTGTTGAGACAAAGGTTCTTCTAGCTTCTCTATATCATCTTGTTTGAGTTCTAGAAATGAATTTTGTAAACAAAACGGTTCATGCTTGCCAAGTTTTGCAAATAAATCCTTATAAAAACTTGTTGCCATTTCTTCAAGCTCCTCTTTATCCTCAACCCAAACCTCTAACTGATTTTGTAGTTTAATCATCCTATTTTTCCTCCTCCTAATCGACGTGGTTCCATGGAAATATTTTGTGTTACATTCACCAAGTTCTAGCTATTTACAGCGGGATTTTTGGAATCACAATAGCTCTTTTTGAACCAAAACTTGTTCATATTCACTCCATAGGTCATGAGAGAGTTTATCAAGAAAAGGGTTACTGATATGAGATAATTTTGCAGCAACACTGTTAAGTCTCTTTTTCTTTTAGAAAATGTTACCAAATGTTGCGCAGTTCCCATGATTGAGATGTTGCTGAAGATTCTCCATGTTTTCACTATTTTTAAAACATTCAATTTTGGTTCTATAATTTTTTAAAAAATATTCAATTATGTTATTTTATCTAATTTCATTAATGTTATTAGTGTCAGATGAAAAAATAACATTAAAAATATTTTAAAAATTAAATAATTAAATCAAATCTTTTAAAAATAGTTAGACTAAATTAAATCTTAAAAATAAATAAATAAACTATAAATATAATTTAATTTAAATTATATTACTGAAGATATAAATTGTGGTTGGGAAATATCTTTGCTTCATTAAAAAAAACAACACCAACAACCAATTGGCAATAATGAAACAACTTAAACTTATCTAAACTATTAATCACATTATTAATAAATAATTTATACTATTAATAAAAAAATTATTTTATTTAGTGTTGACATTTTTTTTTGACAATCTTACTTTAATGACTACCTTTTTATGAAAACTAACAATTTATTTATCTCTTTTTTTTTTTGAAATTCACTCTATAATTATCTGTATGTATAAGAATCATCCATTATTATATAATTCTTATTATTTATCATTTTTTAAAATAATTTAAGAAGATACAAAGTACCTTTTATATGCTAGTAGTCTTGATACAAATGATTGTCTTATTTGATGTCCGCATTGTTGAATAATTTTATTTTTATAATTACTTTTTTTTTTAAATTATAAGCTAACATTAGTCAATCATTAATCTATTGCTGAATCTGTCACATTTTTTAACAATCATGATTATCTTTTTATAAATACTGACAATTTATTTATTTTTAAAATTTATTCTATAATTATTTGTATTTATTTTTGAAAATTCACTCTATAATTATCTATATGTATAATAATTATCTATAATTATATAATTCTTATTATTTATCATTTTTAAAAATAATTTAAGAAGATACAAGATACCTTTTATATGTTAATACTATTAATAAAAGTGATTATCCCATATTTTTTAATAATTTTATCTTTATAAATACTTTTTTTACAAATTATAATTTTTTTTATTCTTTTTCTAATCACCTATATTTTTAATAACCACTCACTTATATAATTTTATTATTTACTATTTTATAAAAATAATTCATAAAGACATGAAGTAATTTTTTACACTAGTCTATGCTAATATATAAAAGAAATACTTTTTTTAATAATCATTTTAATATTATATTTTTTATTATTAAAAATAAAAAAAATTAATATTTTTTACCAAACCTAAAATCTTATATTAAAAAACAAATTATAAGTCTAATTGAACCAAAATATCTATATTATTTAATCTTATTTTTTTTTAATTGAGTCTGGTTCCACTAAACAATAACAGTTTATTATTTTTTTGTTCGTACCTGAAATAGTAGTGACTAATTTTCTCTTTAAGCACCTCAAAAGGTGAGATAGCTGACTTCAAAATTTAACGGAGCTGCATACACCAAAGTTTATTGTTTAAAGAATATATTGTGAGAGAAATCTAGAAAAATCTATTTTGTTTGTGTGGAGGGCACCTCGAAGGCCAAGTGAGTTTCCACTTTCCACTCTGCAATTGCATATATTTGTCTCTTGTTGGCAGTGTATGAGCGTTATCCAGTGAGGCCAAAAGCCAAACCATGTTGGGTTATACACTCTTAACGCCCTCCAACCTCAACCCTTCGCACTTCCTCCCACCCATCACCGTCGCACAGACTCTCCCACCAAGCACCCTCGCTATCTCTTCCAAATCCAAATCCAAACTCGCCTTCTCCGCCAGGGCCACTGGTAACGGCCGTGACGCCACCTTCCCCCCTGTATGTCACACTCCCACACCACGTCCCTTCTCTTTATTTTTTAATTCATTTCATGTAACATATCATGCTTGAATTTTGCTTTCAGGGCATTGATGCAGCAACAAGTACATCTTCTGACCTGGGTGATGGTTATGTGGCCTTGTTTGTTCGTATGTTAGGCTTAGATCGGGATCCTTTGGATAGAGAACAAGCTATAATGGCTCTCTGGAAATATTCGCTTGGTGGGAAGAAGTGTGTAGACACTTTAATGCAGTTTCCTGGTTGTATTAATCTTGTTGTGAATCTCCTCAGATCAGAGTCTAGTTCAGCATGTGAGGCAGCTGCAGGCCTTCTACGATCACTATCTTCAGTCAATCTATATAGAAATTCTGTAGCTGATAGTGGAGCAATAGAAGAGATGAACAGATTGATGAGGCAATCTTCCTTGGCTCCTGAGGTATGGGAATTGGTCTACACCAACTTGGGCTCATGTGCACATGTTTCTTTGATGTAGAAAATTGAGAATATTTGCAACTCTTGTTTGCAGGTAAAGGAGCAGAGTTTGAGTACACTGTGGAATTTATCTGTTGATGAGAAGCTCTGCATTAAAATTTCAAATACTGATATTCTGCCGTTAGCTATTAAGTACCTTGACGACGAGGATATAAAAGTGAAGGAGGCTGCAGGGGGCATATTGGCAAATTTAGCATTGAGCCGTGTTAACCACAACATCATGGTTGAAGCAGGTGTTATACCAAAATTGGTGAGACTTCCTTCGAGTTTTGTAATTGGAAGGTGGTTACTTCTGCAATAAAAAATATTTTTCTGCATGCTGTACTGGTTTAAATGCTGATCTGTGAACTATATGTAATTCCTTTTAAGACGAAATCTGCTAGAGATAAACAACCATTCCATGGTTTGCACCTAAAACACTAAGATCCCGGATGATACAGCTCTTGACATGGTAGCTTCTTTGGCCAAGTGGTGAGGAGTCCCATTCCATGTCACCCTGGATCCTCAACTGATCAATGAGCTGTGTGTAATTATTGGTAAGATGAATTCTTCTAGGGATAAACAATCATTCCTGGGTTTGCACTAGGATTTAAGGTTGATATAGTCATTGGCATCAAAGTCTCTTTGAAGAAATGATTAGGAGTTCCATTTCATGTCACCATGGATCCTCTAGTGTTCCTCAAAAACATGACACTGTATTTTTTAGAGAAAGAAAGACACAAGTTACCTTGTATGTGGATTATTTTGCGCAAGAATTTTTGGCCTACAAAAAGAGGATTCGTGTTTGGAAATTATTTAATTGTACCAGAGACAAAAAGGACAGCTCAAAAATTTTGTGAACACTAAATAATTACAGCTATTCAGTTTCTCACGAGTACAATAAAGTTTATACTGTTAACTGTTTTTTTTTTTTGGTCTTTTCCATATAATCCATAGATTTCAACATAAGCATTAGCATTAATGCCTTACAATAAAAGTTGTCTGGAAAAGAAGGAAGAATTAGAAGGAATGGCATTCTGAAACTTACTGATATTTTAATTTCCATTGTACATGCCAATGGTCCTTTCTCTTGATGCTTATAACAGTCAAGAATGTGATTATCTTTAACCTTATCTCAGGCAAAGTTCTTAACATCTAACTTGGAAGGATCCAAAGTTATTAGGAAGGAAGCAAGGAATGCATTGCTGGAACTTGTTAAGGACAACTATTTTAGAATTCTTGTTATTGAGGAAGGTCTGGTTCCTGTGCCATTAGTTGGTGCTGCAGCCTTTAAGTCATTCACCCCAGGCTTACATATGTGGCCCACATTACCTGATGGTACAGAAATTGAAAGGACTTCTAGACAGCCATCCAGATATGGTGCTTCGGAATTACTTGTTGGACTAAATATTGACGACAAGAATGCTAACTTAGATGAAGCAAAAGTCAACGCAATTGTTGGACGAACACAACAGCAATTCCTTGCCCGTGTTGGGGCTTTAGAAATGGAAGAAAAGACTATGCCTCATTCTGAATGCTCAAATGATCAGAGGTTTACACTTTTACCGTGGATGGATGGTGTTGCTCGTTTAGTACTGATACTAGAACTGGACGATAAGTCTGCAATTATAAAGGCTGCTGAGTCAATTGCTATTGCGTGTATCAATGAACATCTACGTATTGCATTCAGGGAGGCTGGAGCAATTAAGCATTTAGTAAGGCTTTTGAGTTGTGAGGATGATGCAGTCCAGTTGGCGGCAACACAAGCTTTGGAAAGGCTGTCTGTTAGGTAATCTCAAATCACAAAAATATAGTTTATAGTTTTATAATTGCAGCATTAAATTTTTGTTCTTGATATTGAGAACTGCTATTTCTTTTCTAAAATATAAATCAGTTAATTTCTATTTAAAATTAGAGGATATTTTAGAAATTTCATACTAAGAGAGCTTTAAAGACTATCTTCCACTGTAAATCAAGAAATTCAGGATATGATTGTTATATAAATATAACTTATATTTAAAAAGTATCATTCTATTAAAGATTGAAAATGTGTAGTCAAATATTGAATTTCAGTGTAAGGTATCACCTAGAACGTGAAAGATAGACCATGTGATAAGTATATATTTTCTGATATATCATGTAGGAAAATATACATAAAAAAGAAGAAAATATAGGAAAGCCCAAAGTTACATCATACGAATAATGTTTTGTTATAAGAGAAAAACATGGCTTTGAGTGGGATAAGCCTTGGTTGATGTATAATATGAATTGTTTAAATAGTTTAAGATTGTGTGATCATAGTTTTTGAATTGTCATATTTCTTTGCTTATTTTGATGCAGCAACATTGTTTGCCGGGTAATTGAAGCTGAGGGGGTTTTAGGTCCTTTAGTTAGTATTTTGAAAAGCTCAGGGATAGCTGGAACCATTGTGGAAAAGGTATTATTATTTATTTTATGTTAATTAATTATGGCAAGGTTTCAGAAAATTAAAAAGGATAAGAGCTGAACAAGGTTTAACTGATGATATGATGTACCTCTACAGTCTTTGAACATACTTGCTCGGATACTAGACCCCAGTAAAGAAATGCAATTGAAGGTACGTATTGCACATCTTGCAGATAACTTAGAGCTGATTTTTTTCTCATTGATTGTCAAGTACATTGATTCTTTTCAGTTTTATGATGGACCAGCTGATGGATCTGAAAAGGCATTTGGTGGAGTAAAAAGTGATAGGTTTTCAACCGGGGATAGTAGCACCAAACAAGTGGTATTAAAATCATACACAAGGTTAGCTAAAAGGACCTGAACCAGAGTACCTTGAAGGGCCCTGGATTTGTTGAAGTTTAATTATTGAGCTCCAATAGATCTTATTGTTTGATCAAGCAAATCTATGAGTGCTCTACACAGTGGAAGTTAGCATTGACTTTTTATTTGGTAAATCTTTCAGGAATGATATACTGGATTCTGTTTTCATTGCACACCTTGTTGAGATTCTGAAGTCCTCTCCTCCCAGTTTACAAGAAAAAGCTGCATCTGTGCTTGAGTTTGTGGCATTGACTGACCCAACTCTGGCCCTAAGTACACTTTCCGATATTGAATCTGGTCTCAATTCTGTTTTTCAGCAAAAAATTTTGAAAATTTCAGGTAAAGCTGTTATGTAATTTGTGATTTTTTTTAAGTGGTAATTATTTTCATTTGTTTGGTTTGTTTTTTATTTTTGGGTGTGGATGCATAATAAGTACATCAAAATGACTAAACACCATTATTTGGGTTTCAATAGATATGTGGTTTTTGAGAGATGTGAAGGCAGGGCAAGAGATGGAATTGACTCTCCATTTAACTGCTTTTATTATTTAATTATCTCCAACAATAACTCGTGTTTGATCAGCTGGTGAATTACCAAGGCCATTTGCCATTGTTTGTTGATTCAAATTGGCATCCAATTATGTTCCCATTTTTTTTTTCTTGGTTCATATTTTTTCTTCTAGCTCAAATCCTATCTGATCTAAAACCTATTGTTATATTGTTAAATATAAGCCACCTTCAATTAATTAGTGAAAAATGAGACCTTATTGATGTTTTTCTTTGTTTGGAAGTTTATTTATATGGGTTTAGAAGCTTGAGGTCATTCTGTTATGTTATTTCTATTCAATTCACTCTCACTGTTCCCTGCTCTTTCTTAGAGATTGGTTAGGGCTTTCATTTCTCTCTCCCTCAGGTCTTTCATGATTTCATCTCTGTTCTCTATTGCCAGCTCATGAATATCTTATTTTGGGTTATTTTTTATATTTGGGTATATTTACACACACACAGAGACAAATTATTTAACCTGTATCTAAAATTTTACATTAGTGGTTATCCTGCAATTCTCTATCTCGCAACAGCGGTTTTGAGATTGACTGCATCATTACAGATTGATTGGATGACTTTGGGAATTTCTGTGACAAATCAGTGTAATTAGCACAAGTGTAAACCCATATCAGTAAACTCCCAAACAAAGAAAAATATCAATAAGGTCTCATTTTTCACTAATTAATTGAAGGTAGCTTATATTTAACAGTATAACAATAGGTTGTAGATCAGATAGGATTTGAGCTGGAAGAAAAATATGAACCAAGTAAAAAATGGGAACATAATTGGATGCCAATTTGAATCAATAATTTGTAAAACAAAAGAGAGAGAATCAAACTATTCAAATTAGATGCAAATGCAGGAAGTCTCATCTTACTATCTTGCTCGTTAGAGCTGCGTACTGCATTGCCTTGTGCTTGTAAAGGTCTCGTATTAGTTTTTGTATATTATATAAATGGTCTACATAATAGTCCAATTTTATAAGAAGGAATGATGTATATTGTTTTAGAATTGAGACTAGAGAATGATGTGTTTATTCCATGATAGCAATACCATATTTATGTACTATACAAGGCTGAAAGAATTATCATAAATTTAGAGACTAGAATCAATCTATCTAAAGAAATAATGGAAAGATAGCATATTTTCTCTGATTACATAAGTGGTCAATACTCCCTAATTATACCAAATTTCTCCACAATATTTCCTCAATATCTCAAAACTGCCCTCAAGATGGAGTTCATATATCATACTTATATATGTTATACTAGGTCCGTGCAAACATATATATGTTGATCTCTAATACAAGTATTTGTCACTAACCTTCTTCAGCTTATACTGTCTGTAGATCAAAATGTCGCTCACAATTTATGTTTATGCAGCGGACATGGAATCTGACGTGGAAGATCAGTTTTCTGAAGCATATGCAATTGAATTTGAAGAAGCTGGTCTTGCAATATCTGCAGCATCCCGGTTACTGACAAGGCTACTCGACTATGAGCAGTTCCGCCACAAAATAAATTTCTCGCATTTCATTGATTTGCTTCGTGGAATCCTCAGGTCCAGCATTCCCCTCCACAACAAAGATTGGGTAGCTGCTTGTCTAGTTAAACTAAGTTCTTTCTCTGGCTCCATCACAAGTCTCTATCCCATCAATATGGAAGTTACTCTTTATGAGACAATTCCAAGACTTCTAGAACAGATCAAAACTTCATTTTCCCCAGAGACACAGGAAACTGCTGTTGTAGAACTTAACAGAATAATATCCGAAGGAGTGGTAGATTCCACAGAAGCAATTGTTTCTGATGAGGCAGTATATTCATTAGTGAATCTGATTGAAGAAGGTAGTGATAGGGCTGTTGAAGCAAGCTTGGCAATACTGTATAATCTGAGTATGGACCCAGAGAACCATTCAGCACTTGTGGCTGCTGGAGCAGTGCAGGTCTTGAAAAGAATTGTTCTATCAAACAGACCACACTGGGAACGGGCACTTCTTTTACTCAGGATTTTGCAACCATGATGAGTTCAAGGGTGCAAATCTTTAAACATTTTTCATATTGTACAATCTACTTAAAACGTGTAAAAGAAAATCTTTACCCTTTCTTATAGATAAAACATATTTGATTCTTTAGAAGTATTTCGAGTTTTGCTATCTTAAATTTGATAATGCATGGCTTTTTCTTAATCAATGCATTTGTTTGTTTGTTTGTTTTTTTTTCCTTTTTAAATCATTGCATTAAATAAAAATATATCATTACTTTATTTATGTCTAATTTAAATGAAAAAATATAATTTAATATCATGTGATATCTTTACGATAAATATTATCAGTTTTGTTAAACATTGCCCTAAAGATAAAATGTTTAAGGAATTAAAAGTATAATTCTTTTATTAAAAAATAATGTTACCAGTACTTTTTTATCATTATTTTTAATAAATTATTTAAGTTAAATTATATTTTTAATTTTTTAATTTTTATTTTTCTCGATTCGTAATTTTGATAAAAACATTTAGTTTCCTTATTTTTTAAAATATTAAATTTTGATTTTACATCAATTTATTATTTGATGATAGTTAAATGTATTATTTAATAATGTAATATATAAGGATAAAAAAAAGTTCTTCATTTGTGTTTTTATTTTATTTTATTTTTTATATTTATGAGTGATTGATGCCTATTTTATTAATAAAAATTTTATTTATGTTTTATAATAATTTTTTTGGCTAAAACTCTATTTTGGTCCTTTATATTAATTATTTGTTTCAATTTAGTCTCACTTTTATTTTTGGTTTCAATTTGGTCCCAAACTAATTAATTAGTTTCAATTTAGTCCCAAATTAATTAATTGGTTTCAATGTGGGACTTTCGTCTAAATTATTTAAACGGAATTAACTTTTGGCCACGTGGATGCCACGTAGATGCATACGTGGATGCCACGTGCATGACAATTTTTTTGAAAACACCTAGATCCAGAAAGGCTCGTTCTGAAATCGGAACGGGTCGTTCTAGTTTCACTTTTGGTGCGTTAATTTAGCATCCGGAACGGCCCGTTCCAGGTGCGAAATTAACACACCAAAAGTACAACCAGAAA